TTATCGACAATTAATCGATCATCGATTAAAGTTATTTTTCCCTAGTCTAAACACAGATGGTGCAGGAGCTCGTAAAAACACGTCTGATCAGGTAGCCATCTTGGACTCCCCTCCTGATAACAGCTCATCTTCACTGTTCTACTGAAGCTCCCTCGTCACCTGTACCTTTTCCAGGCTCGTTGACTTCGCTGAGGTTAAGTTGGAGTGCACGCCTGAAAAGTCTCCTGTTTCGTGTTGTCGTAAAGACGTTCTGCGTATAAAACGCAATTCAAGATAAAAGAGACAGAAGCAGCAGTTGTGAGTGGGGTGGCTCCGCCCCTGTGTTAACTGCATTAAATATTTTTAATGCCATTAAACTGGAAAAATTAATTATCATAAATATCATTAATGATATCTGCTACATTTGTGTAGTAAATCATAGTGTTATATGTAGTCTAACCACTAGAGGGTTTGTGCTGTGTTGCCTGTTTCCCCCTGGTGGAGGGGTTTCCGGTGGTGGTTGTGAGGTGTGGTTGACCAAAGAACTAGATGGCTAGTTGCTGAATGCTGATGTGACCCTTTAAATAAAATACATGTTAATTGTTCATCCTGTCTCTACATTTGCTGCACCAAGAATATCACATAAATGGCGACGAGGATAAACAGTCGTGGACTGTGAAAAGTTATGCAAAGAAAAGAAGACGGAATATAATCCAAGTGCGAAAAAAAAAAAAACAATTGAAAAAACAAGATGGCAGCACTGGTGGGAACGGTGAGCCCTTTTGACTGTGAGTCGCAATTATGGGAAGAATATATTGAAATGTTGGAATATTTCTTTCAAGCTAATGAGATTACCGACGCTGGAAAAGAAAGCAGTGCTATTAAGTGGAGTTGGTGCGGTTACGTATAGTTTGCTGTGTCCCATGACGCCGGGAGAAAAAACATATGAGGAGCTAATAAACGTGCTCAAAGCCCATTATAATTCAAAGCCAAGTGAGATCGTGCAAAGATATAAGTTTAATTCACGCACACGGAAGAACGGTGAGACTGTGGCTGATTTTGTGGCAGAGTTAAAAAAGTTAGCACAACATTGTGAATACGGGACTATGATTCAACAAATGCTGCGAGACTCGTGTGTGGTGTGAATGACGACAGAATGCAGAGACGGCTGCTGTCGGAAGTGGATTTAACCTTCGAAAAGGCTCTTAACATCTGTCAGGCAATAGAGTCAGCTAACAAAAATGTAAGAAATCTCCAAGGATTATCAACGGATGAAACAACACAGGCCGCAAGGACACAAAAGGGACAAACAGCAGTGCATAGACTATACACATCGGACAAGAAGGGGCAGAAAAAAGACTGGGTGTGTTACAGGTGCAATGGAAATCATGCTCCCAATGAATGCAAGTTTCTGAATGAACTGTGCCATAAATGTGGGAAGCGAGGACAAATAAAAAGGGCATGCAAATCCAAGCAAGTGATGCCGAGTCAAAAAGCCCTGTTCAAAGGTCAGAGAGGGGAGAGGAAAGAAAAAGAGAAAGGTAGGAGGTCACATTTAGTGAGAGAAAAGGAAGTGAGTGAGTCAGAAGAGATGGGTGACATGAACACAATATACTGTGTATCACATGATCTACCTAAAGTGGCCCCTATCACACAGAAGTTAAAAGTGAATGGCAAGGACATTGAATTTGAAGTCGATACAGGATGTGGTGTTACAATTATAAGCAAAAATCAATACTCCAAGCTATGGAAAAAGACAGACATGCCAGAATGGAAACCATGCAACCTGAAGTTAAAAACTTACACAGGTGAGAAGATGGGGGTGTTAGGTCAGGTTATAGGAACAGTGCAGTGTCAGGATGGAGAAAGGAAACTAGCCATGGTAGTGGTTGAAGGGACCGGGCCAAACTTGCTGGGGCGAAGCTGGCTGAAAGACTTAAACTTGGTGCCACAGTTGGTGAATAAAGTAACAGCCATGCCAGCACTGAATTTGGCAGATGTGCTAGACAGACACGCTGAGGTGTTCAAAGAAGAGCTAGGATAGTTTAAAGGCACCACAGCTAAGATGGTGCCAGAGCTGTGGAGATTGGTGGATGAGAAAATTATAGAACCAGTACAATTTTCGGAATGGGCAGCACCCATCGTGCCGGTGAAGAAGCCAGATGGGTCCATTCGCATCTGTGGAGATTACAAACTCACAGTCAATCGAGCATCCAGTGTGGAACAATATTCTATTCCTAAAGTTGGAGGCCAGAAATTCTCCAAACTGGACATGAGTAATGCGTATCAGCAGATCATGCTAGATGAAAGCACAAAAAAGTATGTCACCATTAATACACACAAAGGACTGTATACGTACTGTAGGCTGCCATTTGGAGTGGCGTCGAGTACAGCCATCTTTCAACGCACAATGGAGGGCATCTTGCAAAACATGCCGCATGTCACAGTTTACCTGGATGACATTTTAGTCACAGGGGTCAGCAAGGAGGAACATTTAAGAAACCTGGAGGAGGTGTCGTCTCGGTTAAAAAAAAGTGGGCTGAGACTGAAGAGGAGCAAGTGCGAGTTCCTGGGAAAAGAAGTGGTCTTCCTGGGTCACAAGATCAGCGCTGCAGGCATGCAACCGGTCATGGAAAAAGTACAGGCCATTCAAGAAGCACCCACACCGTAGTCGGTGAGTGAATTGAAGGCTTACTTAGGCCTATTGAATTATTACCATAAATTCCTGCCCAGTCTGTCCACTTTGCTAGCACCGTTACATGCCCTATTGAGGAAGGAGACAAAATGGACTTGGGGCTGTGAGCAAAAAGAAGCTTTCGAAAAGTCAAAAAGTCTTCTTCAGTCGTCTGCATTATTGGTGCATTACGATGTCAACTTGGAGAATCCTTGGGCAAGGAACATCAAAATGCGGATGGCCTGAGCAGGTTGCCTTTGACAGAAAAAGGGGAGGAGACTCCAGCAGAGGAAGAGAGAGTACTTCTACTGGAAGAAAATTATGTGCAATTAGTTAAAGCAGAATAGGTGAGGACATTGACAGATAAGGATGCCGTCTTAGCGAGGGTGAGAGAGTATATCCTTAGATGATGGCCAAACAGAGTGGAGGAATCAGCTTTTGGAGTTTACGTAAGAAAAAAAGAGGAACTCAGTGTTCAGGCAGGTTATGTTTTGTGGGGTGCACGAGTAGTCATTCCGCCTCCAGGTCGTGAGGCCCTACTGAAGCAATTGCACACCAATCACCCAGGCATAACCAGGATGAAAGAGCTGGCGCGGAGTTACATGTGGTGGCCACAGATGGATGCAGAAATAGAAGGAATGGTAAAAACCTGCACCAGGTGCTAAGAGAATAGAAATTCTCCCCCGTGTGCACCTTTACATCCTTGGGAGGTACCACATCGACCGTGGAGTAGGATTCACATTGACTATGCTGGCCCATGGCTAGGTAGGATGTTTTTGATTTTAGTGGATGCCTACTCTAAATGGATAGAGACGTACCCGTTAAATAAGTCTACCTCTACAGTAACCATTCAATGCCTCAGACAGAGTTTTAGCCAACATTGAATACCCGAAGTTTTGGTGTCCGGAAGAGCTCCGGAGACTCCATTGAGGTAAAGCTTGCCCAGAGTGTTGTTTAGTTACAGGATAACACCACAATCGACTACTGGAAAATCGCCTGCTGAACTACTGTGTGGAAGGAAACTGAGGTCCACCTTGGATCTAATTCATTCAGATTTTAAAAGTCAAGTTCAGGCAAAACAGGTGAAACAAAAACTTGATCATGATCAACATGCCAAGGAGAGGCATCTGATGGAAGGTGACAAAGTGTACACTAGGAACTTTAGTGTGGGACCTACCTGGATTCCGGGGACAGTGCAGAAGCAGACTGGACCAGTGTCATGCACAGTAGCACTCGGAAATGGCCAGATTGTGCGCCGTCATATTGATCAGGTGAGGAACAGGTATGAGGGATCTACAGAGAAGCCACTGGGTTTGGAAGAACCACTCAAGAAAGATGTGGACCAGTTGACACCCTGTTCTGGTGTTGTAATCTCAAAAGACAATAAAGTGGAGCAGACAGAGGGAGAGGCCACCAAGGTGACTTTGTCAGAGTCTCCATGTGAGGAGGAAAAGCAAGAGTTAAAGAGGTCATCAAGAACAAAGAAAACATCAAGTTACCTACGGGATTATGCATAGTATAGAAGCGAGTTCCCCAGCCACAGGGCAAGAATGAGTCCTGGGACTCACTGGGACGGAGGTAGTCGACCCGAAGTCCCTAGTTTAGTGTTGAGATAGACATTTGTAAAAAAAAAAAAAAAAAAAAAAAAATTTGAAATACTGTAAAATTTGAAAGGCTGTGTGAATGGCCAGGTAAATTGGTAGATGTGTTCTGGAGATAAAACAGGTTTTGTAAACTTAAGAGTTAAATGCAGTTAAAGGTTGTTAAGAATAAGAAATACTAGTAACAGTTAACATTAGTAGGCTGTAATAAGAATGTTGGCATTGGTGACTTAAGGATTGAACTAGTGTTATCAGGGGGAAGGGGATGTAGTAAATCATAGTGTTATATATAGTCTAACCACTAGAGGGTTTGTGCTGTGTTACCTGTTTCCTCCTGGTAGAGGGGTTTCTGGTGGTGGTTGTGAGGTGTGGTTGACCAAAGAACTAGATGGCTAGTTGCTGAATGCTGATGTGACCCTGTAAATAAAATACATGTTAATTGTTCATCTTGTCTCTACATTTGCTGCACCAAGAATATCACAATTTGGTTCTGTTCTGTTTACTCTAATGGGGTTTTTGAAGCTCTCCCTGCTCATTCATGACAGGCTGCATGGATGGGCAGGGAGTTTTTTTTACCCAAAACATAACCATACCGCCAACCCAAACTGTATGCTAAGTGTCATATTGACCATAGTGGTCCTGACAGAACTATAATTATTTATGTTCTTTCAGAGGTCAGGCTGGTTGGAGGTTCTCGCTGCTCTGGGAGGTTAGAGATACTTCATGATCAGACGTGGATGTCAGTGTGTGACGCTGCCTTTGACCAGCAGGATGCAGAGGTTGTGTGTAGAGAGCTGGACTGTGGGGCTCCTGTACAGGTGCTGGGAGCAGCTGCTTTTGGCAAAGGAGACGCTCAGATGTGGACACAAGAGATTCAGTGCAGAGGAAATGAATCTCAGATTCACCTCTGTCCAACATCACAATCACATGAAAACAATTGTTCTCATGACAATGATGTTGGACTGGTGTGTACAGGTATGTGTTGACCGTTTCAACTGGAAATATTTATTTAATTTTGATAGTTCTCTTCCAGCTTTTTTTTCCTTACTGTGCACAGAAATAATAAATGTGCGGTTGGTTAATGGAAACAGTCCCTGCAGTGGGACAGTGGAGGTTCATCATAGAGGTCAGTGGGGAACAGTGTGTGACATTGGTTGGGATATGGCTGATGCTGCAGTGGTGTGTAGAGAGCTGGACTGTGGAGAACCTGTAGATGCTCTGAGTGATGCTCAGGTTGGACTCGGATCAGGACCAGTCTGGATGAATAATGCAATGTGTGCTGGATCTGAGTCCACACTGAAAAAGTGTGGATCTGTCATATGGGGTTTTCAAGGTGTGTGTCAGAGCAAGAGTGCAGGAGTCATCTGCTCAGGTAAACACAAAACTTTATTTTTGTTAAAAAAAAGAAAAAAAAAGTAGTGCATGTTTTGTTCTGAAAGGTTAATTCATACTCATGTTTTTTTCAGGTGTCAGGCTGGTTGGAGGTTCTCGCTGCTCTGGGAGGTTAGAGATACTTCATGATCAGACGTGGATGTCAGTGTGTGACGCTGCCTTTGACCAGCAGGATGCAGAGGTTGTGTGTAGAGAGCTGGACTGTGGGGCTCCTGTACAGGTGCTGGGAGCAGCTGCTTTTGGAAAAGGAGACGCTCAGATGTGGACACAAGAGATTCAGTGCAGAGGAAATGAGTCTCAGATTCACCTCTGTCCAACATCTCTGCCACACAAATACAAGTGTTCACATGATAATGATGTTGGATTGGTGTGTGCAGGTTTGAGCAAATTTCTTTTACTTCACTGAAATCTTATGTCAAATCTTCTTACTCTTTGTATGAAAGATTTTTTTTCTCTCTCTTTATGAGATTCTTCTTACTGTCTTGTTTGCTATGTTCATAAGTATTACTTCTCTTGTTTTCTGTATTCAATAAACAGACAGTGTGAATGTGAGGTTGGTTGGTGGTCACAGTCGCTGTGCTGGTAGAGTGGAGGCTCTTCATAGAGGTCAGTGGGGAACAGTGTGTGACGCAGGTTGGGATATGGCTGATGCTGCAGTGGTGTGTAGAGAGCTGGACTGTGGAGAACCTGTAGATGCTCTGGGTGATGCTCATTTTGGATCAGGATCAGGACTAATCTGGACAAATCGTATGTTGTGTACTGGATCAGAGACTACACTGAAGAACTGTGGATCAGTTCAGTTGTATGATTATGACTGTAATCATGATACAGATGCTGGAGTCATCTGCTCAGGTGAGCTGTTCTAAAATTTAACCTATTACATCACTGTTGATCCACAAGCCTTATATTTTAGTTCCAAAGTTTTATATTGATTTTTTAATGCGAAGGTCATAGGTTCAATTCTCAGGGAATGCATGAACTGATAAAATGTTAATCTTAAATGCATCTGTAAGTAGCTTTTTCTATGTGCATAAATGTGTGCCAAATGCATAAAAGTATAATGTAAATGTTAATCCAAATAATGCAATGATTAGTTCTTCCTCAGTTCTTTCATTGTACAAGCCCAATATCACAAGTGTTTGCCCTTTTTCCTTCCAAAAAAGGCATTAAGTACCGTACACCTTCAGTGTTCGTCTGTGTTGTCTAAGGCCAAGACTAATGATAATATCAATAGTTCATTTACATTCACAAAACAAAATATATGTATCAAAGTTTAATAACATTTGTAACAATTTGAATGCACATAAAATAATGATCTGTCAGCATTATTGAATGGTAAAATAATGTTTGTAAATGTTATTTATTTCCAAAGTTATTATGTGGTTGTTTATAAGTTTATGATAACAAAGGTTATGCAACTTTTATTTTATTTTCTCTCACTAATGCAGGAGTCAGGCTGGTTGGAGGTTCTCGCTGCTCTGGGAGGTTAGAGATACTTCATGATCAGTCATGGATGTCAGTGTGTGACGCTGCCTTTGACCAGCAGGATGCAGAGGTTGTGTGTAGAGAGCTGGACTGTGGGGCTCCTGTACAGGTGCTGGGAGCAGCTGCTTTTGACAAAGGAGACGCTCGGATGTGGACACAAGAGATTCAGTGCAGAGGAAATGAGTCTCAGATTCGATTGTGTCCAGCATCACAGAAACACAGCTGCTCTCATGATGATCACCAGGCGCTTCTGTGTGCTGGTAAGAAGATTAATATGAGAGAAATTAGTAGCATAACTAGGATCATATGCGTCCCATTGCACTTGGTGTGGCGCTCACCACACCCACAGCTTCAAAGAATGAACTAAAATTCATAAAAATCTAACACTGTAATTCTGTTTTTTTTAATCTATTTTTATTTTTTTTCTATTTTTTATCTTTTTTAGTAGTTATGCCAATTTAAAACACGATGACATCTCTTTAGAATGATTGATTGAATTTAGTCTCTGTCTTTCTCTCTATTTCCCTCTCTCTTAGATGTAATGCATGTGAGATTGGTAAATGGTAACAGTCCTTGTGCTGGTAGAGTAGAGGTTCATCATAGAGGTCAGTGGGGAACAGTGTGTGGTGGTGGCTGGGATATGGCTGATGCTGCAGTGGTGTGTAGAGAGCTGGACTGTGGAGAACCTGTAGATGCTCTGGGTCTTGCCCATTTTGGTCAAGGATCAGGACCAATCTGGATGAGTGTTTTAATGTGTTTAGGAACAGAGTCTACACTGAAGAACTGTGGGTCAGCAGGATGGAATAAACCTGTCTGCACTCATAATCATGATGCTGGTGTCATATGCTCAGGTGAATAAAGTTAAACCTCAAAGCATTCCTCACTTTCTGATAATTTTGTCTTGATTATGTAAGAAAATAAAGATATATATTTTTGGATGTGGTTAGCTGCATATCCAATTTAAACATGTCTGTTTTATTCTTAGAATTAATTACCACTTAAGAATTAGGCATCTTGAAAATAATGTAAATTTGCCATGATTATTTTACTGCATTTTCACAATGATTTTAAAGAAATATTTACAGCACACCATCCATAGTTAAAGGCATTGGTGACCTCAACTGTCCAGCTTCAAGAAGCATTTTCAGGGAATAACAACTACAATGAGATTACAATTTTCATTTTTGGGAAATTTAATTAGAAAACCCTTTCATTATGTACTACAGTAAACATTTAAAAATTTATATATGTAGAAAATGTCATTGGATGTAAAACTTGCCACATCCAAAACCTGCTCACCTAATGCTCACTTTTATGCAATATAAACAGGTCACAAACGCTCCAGACTTGCTGATGGGTCTAATCTTTGCTCTGGGAGGTTAGAGATACTTCATGATCAGACATGGGTTTCAGTGTGTGATGCTGACTTTGACCAGCAGGCTGCAGAGGTTGTGTGTAGAGAGCTGGACTGTGGGGCTCCTGTACAGGTGCTGGGAGCAGCTGCTTTTGGCAAAGGAGACGCTCAGATGTGGACACAAGAGATTCAGTGCAGAGGAAATGAATCTCATATTTCATTCTGTTCAGTATCATCACTCAAACACAACTGCACCTTTGACAACATTGTGGGCCTGATCTGCTCTGGTTAAGTATCAATATTCAGCATCTCTTCATTTGTTTTTGATACTAGGTCATGTCTTAGGTTTGAGTTATAATGTGATCAATCTAATGACAGTTTAGCTTAAGAATGTTTTATGCATTGTTTCTGAACTCTCTTTACTTCGCTCAGGTTACACTGATCTCAGACTGATAAATGGCTCAGTCACTTGTTCTGGAAGAGTGGATCTTCAGTTCCTCAAAGAGTGGGGCACAGTGTGTGATGCATGCTGGGATATGGCAGCTGCCAATGTCCTCTGTGGGCAGCTGAATTGTGGGATTGCTGTGTCTGTTGTGGGATCAGACTGGTTTGGAGAGGGAAGTGGTGAAATCTGGGCTGATGTGTTTGATTGTGATGGGAATGAAACCAAACTCTCAGAATGTTCCATCTCTTCATGGAGTCGAGCTGAATGTTCTCACAGACGAGATGTTGGAGTCATCTGCTCTGGTAAACTTTTTTGACTTTGAGAGCGTTATGTTACTGACATTTTTTTAATGTATTTTATAAACACTATTTCATTACATTCTAACACATTTCAGATTCCTCTCTGGCTCTTCATGATGGTCTGGTGCGGTTGTCTGGAGAGAGACAGTGTGAGGGGGAGGTGGAAGTTTTCATCCATCAGGTCTGGAGGAGAGTTCTGCTGGACTCCTGGAGTCTCACTGAATCCTCTGTGGTCTGCAGACAGCTGGGCTGTGGCTCTGTGCTGAACTTCTACGGCTCCTCTTCATCCAGTCCTGAACACAGTCATGAGTGTGTGACGGGCTTCCAGTGCTCTGGGAGTGAAGCTCATCTGGGGAACTGCAGCTCTCCACAAACTCTCAACTGCAGCTCCACACAACAGCTGTCAATCACCTGCCTTGGTGAGAACAACAACATCTGGACAGATTCTTCAGTTGTTAGTGATATAATAATAATTATTATTATTATTATATAATAATGTGTTTTTCTCTCTCTGAATATCAGGTCGTGGGTCCATCAGGCTGGTGGGTTCTGGGGGAGACTGTGCAGGGAGGCTGGAGGTTTTTCACAGCGGCTCATGGGGGACAGTGTGTGACGACTCCTGGGATATTAAAGATGCTCATGTGGTGTGCAGACAGCTGCAGTGTGGAGTGGCCCTCAGTAACCAGCAGGTACCAGCCTGGTTTGGTCCTGGTTCTGGACCCATATGGCTGGATGAGGTGGAGTGTGAGGGGAATGAGACGTCCCTGTGGAGCTGCTCTTCTCCAGGCTGGGGAAAACATGACTGTCAACACAAGGAGGATGTAGGAGTCGTGTGCTCAGGTAAACATGCTGCTAAATTGTTTACACTGAAATTAATTATAAGGTTTTACACATTTCAAAATTCAAGTGTCCATAATGTTCACATTTTTCAAATTTGTGATTTTAAAATTGACATTTTTTATGTAGAGTTTAAAGAAATCAGGTTAACTGAGGGCTGTGAAGGGAATGTGGAGGTTTTCTACAATGGATCCTGGGGAAATGTGTGTTACAACAAGATGGACAGAGACACAGCGAGTCTGATCTGTCAAGAGCTGAACTGTGGAAGATCTGGTGTTTTGTCTGATTCTACATCAAGAGTGAAATCAGCTCCTAACTGGCTGGATAAAGTAACATGTCGACCACATGATTCCTCTTTATGGCAGTGTCCATCTTCATTCTGGGGACAGAATAACTGTGGTGACGATGAAGTGGCCAAAATCATCTGCTCAGGTAAAACAGATGCTTTTTCCATCAGTAAACAATACAAGAGTTATCCTTTATTATTAGTGCTTTGAGAAGATGTGTGGAATACATTTAATAATAATTTATTTGTTGTTACAGAACAGGAGATCCATGAGTCTCCTCGAAGCTCTCTAACATGCTCCACATCTCCCCATCAGAGACAGTGTTCAGGTAAGTTAATTTAACAGAAACAACCATGAAAATTATGAATGTTGAATGCAACCCCTGTTGAAAAAACCAGCACATGCTGGTTAGGTATGTTTTGACGCATGGCAGCTGGTTTGAGCTGGTTTAAATGGTTAATTCACCCAAAAATGAAACTTAGCCCATAAATTACTCACCCCTCAAGGCATCCTAGGTGTATATGACTTTCTTCTTTCAGACGAATCCAGTCGGAGTTATATAAAAAATTGTCTTTG